TTTTTTTTTTTTTTTTTTTTTTTATCATACCAAGCCTGCTTTGCGATCAATTTATTTGTTTTCGCCCTTGCTGAAGGGAGACCAATTTCACGCCTACTTAGCAGCTCAGGCACAAAATGCTGTCCCAAGAATTTTTGTTTTTTTAACATAGCAAGCCCGCCAAAACTCGAAGGCACTTACTACTAGTTTGTAGAATAATCCTTGCGTGTATTATTATTTTTATGGAGAAAATCGGCTGCAAAATTTAGCCGTGTCATTTTCACATTTAAAGACACTCATTAAACATTCATTTCTTTTGTACTTCCTTTATGAAGTATTAATGAGTTTTTGAAAAAATTATAAACAAATAGAACAGAAATGAAAATATGTTGCAGCTGGCTGTCCGCGTAGGACTTGCCAACGCCAGTCGGTGTGTGTTTCTTGAAATAACAATGTCCCTTGTCGCCTCTTTTTGTTCTACACTGACGGAAACATTCTCCAAATTGATACCGTTTAAGGTCTGAGACAATGATTCCTCGAATCCTGCCTCGACGGCCGCCACTGTCAATCCCATACAGGTTATAGAAACATCGCGACTGCATACATAAAGACTGGAAGTCCTAGAATCTAGGACTGGGAAATCCTCTGTCTCCAGAGCCCAGTTCGTTTCTCGTGCCAAGGCCGCGCCGGCTAAGAGAAGCGAAAAGGGCTATGGGGATGTTAAAAAATACGATGTCCCCTTTTGGGTCTTGTGTGGTCGAATAAAACTTGTGTGCTAGATGTTATACGTCGGAGTAAAAATAACTGTATTTTACTCCGCGTAAAGCCCTTCAGAAAAAAACATCTGTCCGAATACAGTATGTCATAGCTAAAACAGTGAACAACAGATCTAACGCGTGCACGTTCCTCGCTTTCAATTCCAGTGTCTTCATCATTGAAAAGCTAATAACACTGCGAATAAAACTGGTTTTTATTTGCAACAGCGAACAAAACTTTGCTACATACTCTCTTTCATTTAAATATATGTAATTAATTTATTTTAAATGATTTTTTATTTCACGTTTTAAGAATCACAAAACAAAAAAGTCAGTGTATCAGGTAAAAATAAATGGTCTTGCACTAATCAGTTTGAAGACGTTCTTGTTTACCCGAGTTCGCAGTCTTTGTTCATATATACAGAACATGTTTATTTACAGCATGGCTGACTCTACGATTACTGCGATAAACGATTTCTGAGCGAATTGATTATGTTCCTCAGTATTTCCATGATAGTGTGTCGAATATGTTTCATCTTCCAGCAGTAAATTACAGGGTTTCGGGGTTTGAACCTGCGACCTCCCGCACGCTAGTCCGGTGCTCTACCACTGAGCTAACCGGTCGGCGGTTATAGCTAATTTATTTTGGTATGAAAGTACTTTAGTCAGGAAAACTTATCTGATTTTACCGTTAATAACCCTCACAGCTCCTGTCACAAAGTCACCAACATAAGCAGAATCGAAAAGAAGGATACAAGGAAATGGAATAAGACTACAATATGATTATAGCCAATAAAGAAGTGTCAAGACTTCATGAAACTTGCTCGTGTCATTCTCAGGTTACTATTGACTCTGAAGATGACTTACGCTTGGGTTGTCGAAACGTCAGTTACCCACTGCAGCTTTTGCTCACTAGCGACATAAACACATGAACGACATAACGACGTAATCGCTTTTGTAAGTACAGTTGAACCTTCGGTTACGACCACCTCTCCTAAGCGACCAGTTTTTTTCCAAGTCAAATCACTGTATTTGGAACCTCTTATAAGCGACTACCTCTCGTAAGCGACCGCGACCACTTTCAGAGCTAAAAGTTTGAAGTTTTCTTTTGTTTTTAACCTCCCGTAAGCGAGCACTCGACAGATAATAGAGTGAAAACTGGATAATAAGATGTTGTAACATTCTGGCCTTCCAGGGTAGTACAAGAGACGGACATTTCTCAAAGGGAAGTACCGCATTTTTCTCGAAATTGAGTTTACACACGACTAAAACATTTAAAACATGGGCTAAGTCTCTGCGGTTACCATATACTAATGAGGTAAAATTTTTACCCAATATGATCTGAGCTCTCGTAAGCGACCGCCTAGGCTTGACATTTTGGGTGGTCGCTTACGGGAGGTTCGACTGTAATGTGAACATCGGTAAAAAGACATATGGGAAAGATCAGGTTTTCCTTATGCCGTTACGTTCAAGCTGACGTAACGTTGCTATTATGTCATGGAGTGAGGGTGTTCACACTGCAAACATAACGACATGACGACATGACGTCCTTGTTATGTCGCTAGTGTGAACTAAAGTGAACGATTCTCACCCAGACGGATGCACCAGACGAACTCGTTTGGTATATTCAGACCTTGATTTACGATCTAAAAGAAAACGAATAGATATCACCGGCTACAGTCTGTTCGAAACGTGACAGTAAACATAAAGAGAACACAACTGTTTTCTATGTTAATGGTGGTAAAGCTGCGAACCTAATCTATTTCTATTTTGCCATGCCTCTTTTCGGCTTTTCTGTGTTTCTTTTAAGTTTTTCTGCAATTTTAATTGTGATCATCACAAATGACTAGTTGGTAAGTACCAACATACCTAAAATTGCGTTACCTAGCCCCCTTATGTGCTCTGACTTAATGCTCAAGTCCACACCGGACTCAAATGTTACCGCACTTAAAATGACGTCGTCAGCCGCCAGATTACAGCTTCGTTTGAGAATCCTCTTTACCGCTTTCTGTGACAGAAATTCAATCAGGATCTGTTTTGTCTTATATGTGTTTCGCATTTAGGTGACGGAAAATTCTCACAGATACCTGAAAGAAATCGAGATGAGAGAGGAAGCTGGTACGCCCGCCATTGTCGGGGCTATCAGAGCGGGACTTGTGTTTCAGCTAAAACAGGTACATGGCAACCATCTGGAAACACTAAAGACTATTTATTGTCGCAATACAAAAGTTCAAATGAAGCCTGAAATTACTGCTGAAGTTGAAGCTTAAGAGCTACGCTTTCGCCGACCCACAGCATCATCAGCGATGGCTTACATCGGTGAAAGCTCTGGTTTTAACCTCCAACTTAAAGGAGCTCAGTCACGGTGTTTTGTCTTTTTTTGGCCACGTACAAAATCTCCTTTAAATGGAAGGAAACCTGAAAATAATAGTTTACTAAGATAGAAAAACATCAAAGAGATAATAATAAACCATAAAGGAACAAGGATGGTCAAGAATGGCGAAGATTGACACGGATTGCAAACGACGAATTTGAAAAATTTAGGCTAAACTTTTCAAAATGTGCAAACCGTGACTGAGCTCCTTTAAACAGGACAGCAGTTTCAGGCCTCATTTGAACTTTTCTATTCTTGTTTTGAAACTGTTATTGAAGGACTATTTCCAAAGACTATTAGGGCAAGGAAACGATGACGGTGCCAATGACGATAAGGTTGCATTCATTTACTATTAAAGGGATACCAGTCATATGAAGTTTCACTATCATTGGTATTTTTCTCTATTTTTTGTCAAAACTCTGCTAAGCTTAAAGGAGCTCAGTCACGCTATTTCGAGTTAATTTGGCGAATGGCCACTAAAAAAAGAACCTTAAAATTGAAGGAAACCTGAAAATAGTTTTACCTGAGATCGAAAAACACCACAGAGATAGTAATAAACCATAAAGGAACGAGGATGGTCACGGATGACACGGATTACAAACGACGAACTTGAAAAATTTAGGCCGAACGTTTCAAGATGCGCAAACCGTGAGGTAGCTCCTTTAAGGACATTCACTCTTACCCAAAACGAGCCCAGAACACTAAGATTTTCAGGTTTCTTTCCATATAAATATGCAATTGGATTTTGACTTTTCGAATTCATGTTCGTGATAGTCAGAGGATTTTACTTGCTACTGCTTTTTAATTTGAGAGCCGGCTAAAATGTTATCCTTAAATGGTCTAGATAGCAGCAGACATGTAAAGATTTTAAGGAAAACGACCACTTTTTTAAGTTTAAAAAACATGTTTCGACAGAACTTCTGTCATCTTCA